ACACACACACACACACACACACACACACACACACACACACACACACACACATTCATTCGCACGAGGTGCATCATAACACGCAAATCCACACACATACATGCACGCATAAATATAAATAAGCAAATAGCTCCCGCATCAAGCCTCAGGAAATTGGCAATATTGTGTGACAAGATTGGTGAAGCTTTTGTGCATCTTTACTACAGAAGGCTGGAAGAAAATTTTGATGTGGAAGACTTAATCTACACATTATGGGGATAGTACCATGATGTGATCCTACTATCACAACTACAGTTACCCCAAGATGGGTAAGTCAGTCTGAGACCGAAAGATTCCTTCGCTCTTTGCAACATTGGAGTGGTGGCGGCAAGAGAAAGAAATCGCTGGAAAAGTTTCCATCGCTCATCAGTGAGAGTGAATCTATTGACTCTCTACTCAACAAGGAGGAATGTAGAATGACGAGGAGGAAAGAGGATCAAAAGGAAAGCAGAGGTGGAAATGAGAAGCGTGGAGAGAGCTAAAATGGAAGAGGAGAAAAGGGAAGACGAAAGTGTAAAAGAGAAAACGTTTTGGCAGAAGTTCTTTATGGACCCGTAGAGATGGAGAGACGGAGACCAGGGACGTGTCACTTGTCAGTTCTGCTCTGATCAAGAGTAGACACAGCCACGTTTGAAATTGACGATATTTTGGGTAAAAAGACAAAAGCTTAAATATCTCGAAACCATGATTTAAAGAAAAAAGTGTTTTGTTGCAGCACGGCAAAATAGGCCTACTGTCAGTTTTAACTGATCTACTGATCTTAGTATAAACCCCCAAAGTCAGAATTGGGAGAGATGAGCTGTGACGCAAAATCCTTTTAAAGTTTGCCGCCACACAAGATAAAACTTTGCTTGCAGAATGTTTTAAATAATGATAACGGCTAAAATATATATTTCATTTTTGAAATCAGCGTATCAAAATAAGCAAAGTGGCTCGCGTAGAACCTGATTTGATGCTCTATCTATATTTAGCAAAGATTGTTTTTGATTGTCAATTTTGAATCTGAAATTAGGTAGCAAAGTTACCTGCTGCGTTGTGAGGTCACAATTGCTAGGCCTAGACCTACACACTGCACAGTCACTGTTTTGTGTAAAGTAAGTAGAATGGCGACTTGGTTGTAAGACACTGTTATTCTCTTTATTGATGCAGATCCCACCAATGTCTGTAATCCATTAAGTCCAGAGACTACATGAACAAGAACTTGTATCATTTTGCAAACAATTTAATCAAGATGCAATTAAACACTTTCGCAATTTGCCACACACACTAAAAATAACAACACCAAAATAACGCACTTCACAACAGAAGTGTGAGTTAACCGATTTCGCTAAGTCAGCCTTTTGCCCAAATGACCCTTATTTTTTTACTTGCAAATCGAGACGAAAGGTAACATTCTCGGTTCAGCTATATTCGATACTGCAGGCGATTACACCAAGATAAATTGTATGAAAAAATATAGTAAAATACGAGTCACTGTCCCCCGGCGTAGCCGATAGTGACAATGATATTTTGTCATCAATATTTTTACTAAGTTGATACTGCTGCTGCTGATGATGATTATGATGATGATGATGATGATTCAAGCATTTGTGGCATTTGTACATAATTCTTTTATCAACAGGAAGCCAGTGCAGTATCCGTAAAAGAGATACACCAGAGTCTCACTTTCTTTCACGTAAAATTAAGCGTTTATCATTGAATAGTACACTTGAATTCGTTTCACTGTTTCCAGTGATATTCCTGATAACAAACAGTTACAATAATAGAGTCTTGACAAAACTGTATTATTGGGCAATGATCACTATTATTAAGGGAAATAGTTTCGTTGAGACAGTTTTTTTAAACAATACTTACGTCATTACTTAAAAGATGTGTACAGAACAAGAAGGTTCTAGACTTTTAGAATCTCATTACACAAAACTGACCAGTGCACGTTTCCGACGTTCTACCATCACATTGTCTTGTTTGTGGAGATTCCCCGTGTCATGCCAGCTCTGTACATTGCCCTGTAAAAAAAGAATGATGATGATGAGGAGGAGGAGGTGGAGTGGGAGGAAAAAGAGGAGGAGAGACAGGATGATGATGATGATGATGATGATGATGATAATGACGATGATGATGATGATTTACTGCTTTACCTCATTATCGTTAATCACGATTTGAACGGAGGAGAGTTTCCTACCTGTTAAACTACTATACTACTACTACTACTACTACTACTACTACTACTACTACTACTACTACTACTACTACTACTACTACTACTACTACTACTACTACTACTACTACTACTACTACTACTACTACTACAACTGCAACTGCAACTGCAACTACTTCTATACACATACATACATACATACATACATACATACATACATACATACATACATACATACATACATACATACATACATACATACATACATACATACATACATACATACATACATACATACATACATACATACATACATACATACACCAAAGTACACCAATACAGAATAATTTCACAGCCATGCCATTGCTGGTCACAACTGTGCAGTACCCAATAATTCTCTCGTGTAGGCAACCACAAAGTAACATGTCGTACGACCTTGAGTTTGTGAATTGTTCAGCTGGTGTGAAGTGTACCTACAAAATCCGTACATTGATAATATTTGTGCTGATAGTCTGAGATAATTGCAGTCTCAGCAAATGATCTCGGCATCTTTTCGCAAAGAGAACAGAATCTTAAATAACAAGCACGACATGTTTTTGAACAGTTAGATCTACAAAGGCGTTGTAAAACTTACGTGTACTTTGTTCCGCTCAGCAGTAGCCTCGACGACAACAGCAAGTACCACAACCAGACACAGGAATGCTGTCAGCGACCTCAGCCCCATCAGG